ACAAGGTTTGCTTTTTCTCTTCGGTTTGGTTTGGGACACTCTTTTGCAAAATGACCATATTCATTACAATTGAAACACTTAACCTTGGATTTGTCGAAGTTACGTGGCTTTCGGTCTTCACCTCGACCTCCACCATATCCACGCCCACGACCACGTCCTCTCCCGTGACGTCCTCCTTTTTTGTTGCTGTTGGAACCTTCATCTTTCTTTGCCTTTGAGATTCTTGCCTCCCACTCGGCCTGGGTAAGGAGTAACTGTTCTCCACTACCCTTTGAGTGCAGTCGCCCTTTAAGCCCTTCCTCGAAGGTCTTGAGACGACCTATCGCCTCGGATACCGACATCTTCTCAATATCGCCAAATTGTTTGATTGTTCCAATAATTTGGAGAAATCTATCTGGAACTGCACTGAACAATTTTTCAACAACTTCACTGTCGTCGAACTTCGTGCCCAGTGAGCGGATCTCACCCACCAGCGTGGTAAGCTTCATGGAAAATTCGTTTATTGTCTCTGAATCCTCCATGTGTAACTTGTTCAGTTGTCGTTTCAGAACCTGTACGCGTGCCTTCTTAACGCGATCTTCGCCGACTCGCATCTCCCTGAGTGCGTCCCAAGCCTCCTTTGCCGTCTTTTTCTCCGCGATTACCATCATCACGTCATCCGGCACGGCTTGAGAAATGGCTACCATGGCGCCTTGATCTTTATCATCGTCTTTTTCTTCACCTTCAATCACTGACCATACTCCTAGTGAACGCAAGATTATCTTCATCTTGACAGCCCATATGCTGTAGTTCGTTTCACTTAACGTTGGAAATTGGATCGGGATTGAGGCTCCTCTTGCCGTCGGTTTGATGACAGCAAGTGACTTAGATGAATCTCCATCATTTCCGGCCATTTCTTTGACACCTTCGCTCTGATACCAAATGTTGGTTTTCAAAACCAAACCTGAGACGCCAACAAAAATGGAGGAATTTTATTTAGTAGTTCACACCCTCTACATTTTCTGGTTTAATTTATAAGCAAATACATCACATTTTTCTGAAAATAAAACTAACTAACCACTCAACGGTTTTCCTAACCACCTAACCACAAAACGGTTTTCAAAACTTCCTAATCCACATGAAAAATGTGCAAAAATACATAAACAATTTCTAGAGACAACTAGATTAACACAACAAGTGTGTCGCCTATTTTTTAATATGAATACTTCGAATTTTATGGTCTATAATTCTTCGCAATGAATAGTGAATTATTATGCATTAGCCATCAAAGTGGATAAACTTACACAAACTTCATGCGTGCTTTTGCGAGTCAAATCTTCTTTTCATTTATTTTTTTGGCTCTCTATAATTGCATAAATTTCATCCAAAACCTAAAAAAAGTCTGTAAATTAATATCTATGAAGTGGAAGAAAAAATTACTTCATGTGTGTAGGAGATGCTGTGCCGAAAAAGATCCTCGTACTGCTTTTGTTCAAACTGGAATCTATCCAATTGGCCCATGTCTTTATCGCCATTCTGTAAACAACAACAGCTTCCAGTTCTTCATATCCTTCCTCTCCGTTTTCAAATGATCCCCACCTGCAAGACAAATCACATAAAATCAAGGAGGATTTACAAACATATCACTCAATTCCTATGCATTTACATATCAATACCCAAACTTCAAATTTTATATATATGTAAAATGTAAAGCTTAGCTGTTACATATGTAAACATAGAGGAATTGGGAGGTATATGTATAGTTTCACAAACTTGCCCAATATTTTCTCAAAAAATTAAAAAAATGGTGGTACTCACAGAGCCTTCATCCTATGCCCATTCATCCACCAAACATAACTATTAAAGACTAAAATATCAACCCCAACCCAATTCTGAGCATGTTTGTGGATCGAATCTACTCTTAAAATTCTCTCTTTTGATTCTGCAATAATAGTTTCATCTGAATTGGACTGAACAAGGAAAGGTGCCCAATAGAACTCAATTGTAGCATTGTAATCCTGAAATTTTACAGAGCAAAATTGTATTTTTACAGTACTAACTCTTTCATTAATTTCAGAGAATATAACTTCAGATTCAATTTACCTCAGCCTTGAAAACTGAAAGAGATTGATCGAGCTTCATTGACTTCTTATCAGATGGAAGAACAGACTCCACCATGCACACAAGTGACTGCCATTGCTGTCTCTGCAGTGAATCTCCAACAAACATTAATCTCTTTTCCCTGAGTTTCTGAAGCAGATCTGCAGCATTAAACCTGTGACAAAATGCAAATATTATGGGCTGTTGTATAAATTTCATTAATGATTGGGAGCTGATCAGTATAACTACAATAACCTTGGTAAAATACAGTCATCAGGCTGCCACTCCCACTGTAAATATTCACTGTCTTGTCTTCCATTCTTCAAGCAAGTAACTTGATTGTCTAAGTATGGACAGCTCTTATCAGTATAAAATGGCTCTGCAGAGCCATTGAAAATCCATCTTCCTTTCTCAATTCTGCATTCATTAGGATCAAAATTTATTTTATCTTCATCGATGAAATCGTCATCTTCTTCGGTAGTATTTTCCTTCTCCATAACCTCTGTTGATCAGAAAAGAAAATGAAAAACAAAAAAAAATATCACATGTGTATGTGTTGGTGCAAAATATAGGCTTTTTACTGGAGTTTGTGATTGTGAGCTTCCTGGAGCAGGATTTGAGCTGAAAACCAGTGATTGAAGTGAGATCTTCTGCAAATATTAGAATTGTGAGGGCCAATGTGCAAATTATGATGGCCATGATTGAGAGTGGAAGCTTTCCCATTGGAATCTTCATTGTGTTGAATGGTGAATGAAAGATTATAAAAAGAAAAATGAAATTTGGTTCTTAAAGAATTGTTCGTTGGTTATTGAGTAGGAGTGAAGTTGAAGTGAAATGGACGGCTCTCCCAATTGCTGCTCATGGCTTCCAAAGGAAATCAGTTGGTTTAGGTATCTAGTTATTTTCTTGGGCTTAATTTTAAACTAGCAGAATTGGTAAAATTAATAATTTTTTAATGGTTGTCAAAAATTTGTAGATTTGATGATTATTTATGATAGGCAGCAGTCACATTTCAGGTAATGACCAAATAAACCTTTTGCTGACATATGAAAGTGATGTCCCTTCTATCATTCTATTATTATTATTATTATTAGGTGGGGGTGGGGGTTGTTTTATTTAATATTTTAAATATTTTTACTTATTGTACTTTTGACATGTTTTTTATTTTTTATTTAAAAAATCAATTTACTTTTAAATTACTTAAAAAATTAGTTTTTAGTTGAAATACATAATAAATATAATGTAGTGTATTTTGAATGCTTAGGAGCTATTTATTTGAACATATCAAATATATTTTATTTAAATCAAAATGTAAGAAAATAAAGTCAAATGTAAGAGTGATTCCGAGAGGCGTTTTCTTGACATTAAAAAATATTTTTTTCAAGTAATGAGTTAATTAATCTATCGCTTGAAAACATGTAATTAAATAACAAATTTATTTAAATTCACATAAACTCTAAAATTACTTTAAAATGATTCTTTTATTTTCATATCCAAAATAAGTGCAGACGATTTTTTTTTTTCAATTCATCATGATTGATGAATATATCAACATGGGTTAATATAGACATATATTCCAAAATTAAATGATTTTTGTTTAAAAGAAATTATAATTATTATGTGTCGAAAGATTCATGGCAGTATAGTGATATTTTAATGTCTTACTGTTGCATAAAAATATAACACACATAAAAATAAAAGAAAACTAAGAGGAGTAGACATTAAATTTTTTACGTGGAAAACCCTGGAAAAGGAAAAAAATTACGGGGTTTAGCCCAGTCAAAATAATCCATTATAAGATTATACATACATAAGTCCACTTCTCTCATAAATTAGAAAAGATGAAACTACAGTGTTGATAAACACATATGTACGATAGTCATCCAAGTTTAATTGTATTGATTGGGCTACTATAAATAAATTTCTTGGTAATAATAACAATAGTGGGCCACAAACACCCTAGTTGATTGTTATAAAGGTTGTGGTTTGCCACAAAAACTGGAGTTGATGGCAGTGATAGTGTGAGTTGGTCATAGAGATCGTAATTGAAAGTTGTAATAGCATTTAACTAAATAATCATAGTTTGTCACATAGAATGTGGTTGGTAACTGCAGTCACGTAAGTTAACTGGAGAGGCAGTTGTAGTGAAAGGCGGTAATGATTGGAGCTGACCACATAAGCCATAGTGGATTAATCACATAGATCGTAGTAAAAAGCCACAATGACAGTAATTTATCATATAGGTCGTAGTGGAAGGCTGAAATGACAACAATTGACCACATATGCCATAGTGGAAGGCTGAAATGATAACAATGAGACAAGGAGGTTCATACTGGAAGACTGCAATGACAATAATTTAATAATATAGACCATAGTGGAAGGCTACAATGATAGCAATTGATCAGATATGCCATAGTGGAAGGTTGTAATGATAGACAAGCTATAGTGGAAGGTTGTAATGATAAACAAGCTGTAGTTGAAGGCTGCAATGATAGAAGTTATTCATATATGTCATATTGGGAGGTTGTAATGACAGGAGTTGGCCACATAAGCCATAGTGGATCGCTACAAGAGCATCAGTTGGACACAGAGACTATAATAATAATAGTTAGTATTGTAGATCGTAGTGAGAAGCTACATTTGCAACTGGTCACAAGACATGTAATGGGTCATTGTGAAAGTATCAATTAGCCACAATGGCTGTAGTAGAAGACTGTAATAACAGTACTTAGCCACATATGTCATGGTGGGTCATTGCAAGAGTATTATTTGGCCACAGATGCTATAGTAAAAGGCTGTAATAATAATAATAATTCATCTCGACCATAGTGGGAAGCTACAGTATTAACTAGTCATATATGTCACATTGGGCACTACAAGAGCATCAATTGTCTACCAAGGCTATAGTGGGAAGCTACATTAGTAACTGGTTATATATGTGATAATGAGTCACTGCAAGAGCATCAATAAGCCACAAAAGTTGTAATGAATGCACTTAGTCACATAGGTCGTAGTGAGAGTTGTCAAAGTAATTGGCCACATATGTTGTAGTGGGTCACTACTAGAGCATCAGTTGACTACATATGCCATAGTTGGTGCTACATTTGTTGGTGGTTGTAACCTTTCTTCGGGTTTGTTATTTTACACCAGAGACAACACTTGTCAGTATAAAACATATAGAAAACTACAACGATCTAGAGAAAGTCATTGTATTCTGAATACAGTGATCGTAAGCAGTTTTCAGCAAGAGTTATCACCAGATCTTTAATATGTTGTTATTTGTTAAACCATATTCAGGATACTTCGTTGTACCATAACCAGGATACTTTGTAAAAAAATAGAGTTAACCAACAGTGGCGAGCAAGGGGTGACCGATACGGGTCAATATTGGTCGACGGACGATGTTCAATGATGGTTAACGACTACGAAGGTTGAAAGTTATTGTCTGGTCTTCAATCCATAACAAAATTGGAATTTGACTCATTCTTCTCTTCTTTTTCTCCCTATCAAGTGAAGAGAATGGGTCTATTTAAAAGCTCTAAAGAAGGAGAATTTTGGTCATTTACAAATAACACCCGTAAACACCTGATCGAATACCCCATATTAATTTCTCTAGATCATTGGTGTTCTTGATGATTTGAGAGTCTTAATGACTTATGAATTAAGTAATATTTGGCTTGTTGGATTCATCTCTTCAAAACACTTGATTTGACAATAGATACATCAATTTGAAGTTCATTTGACCATCCAACTAACTACCCAAGGTCTATAAATGTGATTTCATAGCTTCATCCGAACTTGATCAAACTCAAATTAGACTGATTTCGGTATCATTGGGCTCGTATAGTCAAGATGGCCAGTTTGACTATTAGCTTACAAAAATAGGAGTTCTGAATGATCTTTAATTTGAATGTGAACATTTTTTGCTTAAAAATATATTAATATTCATGTTAGATGATAAAAATTTGACGACGGCACATCAATAATAATGAAAGAAAAAAGAAATGACCATGAAAATAATAAAGAAATTGAGTTGAAACTTGTGTGTCTAATATATACATTTTAAAAAATTTTATTTTTAGATCTTGTCCTTTACTAACCAAGGAGGAGGACAAAATTCTCTGACCTCGCTTATTGGGATTATTGTCCTCATCTTATCCAACCGCATATATGTTGAAGATTTTATTTACTTTAAAAAAACAATTATTTATTTATTTATTTTAATTCGGGAATGTTCTGTCACTTAAAAATGTCAACTGGCATTCTTAAATTATATTTAACAATAATATTTACATTTTATTTTTATTGTCGAACCTACATTTGGAAAAAATAAATAAACAAACAATATATATTTATAATATAGCAAATTAAAAATATGTATAAATAAAATTGACTTTTAATAATATTAATACCTTAATAATAAAAACCATTGAGTGGCTCGCACGATCAAAATCACAGTCAACTCTTTTCCTTCTTCTCCAACCCTTAAATTTTTTTTTTTCATAATTTTGAAAAAGCCCTATAAAAAAGCTTAATTTCTTCAATCACGCCACCCACGCCCAATAACAGAGCCAATTAATTACTTCAAACCATGGGTTCAATCTCTCCGTTCTTCGCCGGCCATCTTCTTCGCCGCCACCGTCTTCTCCTCCTCCTCTTCCTCCTCATCGTCGCCGGCGCCTTCACCTCCTCCGGTATCACCGGCGGTGCCGATTCTATCTTTGGTAATCAAGATCGCGGCAGCTCATAAATATGTTTTTAGAGCTTTGAAAGAGAATTTTTATAGAAAATTTGGAATATTTACATGCTGCTTGAATCACACACACACACACACACACACCCACACATATATATGGGAGGTTGTAATGACA